TTGTGATTTTCATATGCATGATGCGAAACCCGTACAGAAATATCTAAACTATCAGCTTTCTCAGATTACTGGTGAAAAAATGCATTAAGCGAGGAAAGATTAAGGGTTCTTGGCAAAGATCATATTTCTGTGAACCTTGTCTTCTGGCGCTACAGAAACACAAGCAAAATACGGTACCAAATAACAGAAACCACATCACTTGAGGACTATCAACAATTAAAATGGATATCATGCGAAACTCGAAGAGAAAATAATGATATAATCAATGTGTTAGTATGCCACACTGTGAAACCACCCTCACTACTGGAAAGAGATATAACAGCTACTGGATTTGAGAAACCTGTTTTCCAAAAATATCTTCAAAGAGAAAGATGTTATAATTTCCAATCGATAGTCGTAAACCTTGTGCAAATGAATTGAAACAACCGCTTTAGTTTCCTTTCTTTCACCGTGCGGTCAGTTTTAGACCAACCGGAGTGACAGGTTGTAATCGATTTATATTCTTTCCTAGGATTAGGTCATTTGCAGTTGTGTGCAGTAATATGAATCTATTTTCGGAGTGTATGATGGAATTTATTTAGCCTTGAAAAATATTGCGTCATCCGTGATTGCATCAGGTTTTCATCACGCTCCGACACTATTGTCTCGACTGTCGATTAGTTGTCCTGTGACCATTGTCTGCGATGGACGTTACTCGAAGGAAGGTTACGAAAATTGTAACGCTGCATGAACTCACTGGCAAGCTTTACCAGTGAGCAAATCAAAGTAGTATCGACTGGCTCGGAAACTCTCCTGATTTAAATCCAATCGAGAATCTGTGCCCATTCTGCAAGGAACGACTTCGTGAAATGGAAATACAAATGGAAATGCCCTAGGTCGTCTTTCATTGGAAAAATACGGAATTATTGCATAAGGGTGTAAGTTTTTCTTTATAAGGTAACGGCTAATATTATCATTACTGTTGGATACTGAATAATCACACGAAAGTCGGTAATGAACGATAATACTTAGGACAAGAACAACACATATAAGATTCACCAGCGACGCGTAGAAGAAGTAGTCAACTGCTAGAAGTGAGTCAAGTGAATTCCACGATGAATCTCCAACAACGGGATATCTACCAACCGCCATAAGTGGTTAGATGTGGCACAAGGCTGAATTTAATGCGGGATATCCGAATATAACGTGGGGTATCCAAACACGTAGCCTCGTCTGGAGTCAGAGAGTTTGACCAGCACAGCTGTAGACGAAACTCCGAATGCAGGATGTCTACCAAACGTCCCACGCGGTTAGATGTGGTACAAGGTCGAATTTAATGTGGGGCATCGAAACCCGTAGGCTCGGCCCAAAATTCGCCGTAGACCCCGTATAAAACGTGGTCGGGTTGCTATTTCCCGAGACGAGAGTCTGCCCTTCGACATAGCCTCGTCTGGGGATCCTCTCTGCCCGGAGACAAGGAGTTTGACCAGCACAGTTGGAGGCGAACCTACAACTACAGACTAACATACAGTATTTACTACTGTATTTATGCGAATGGGGACATGCCCATTATCGTCCGTAGGTATGCTACAATTACCATACGCGTGCATTACACTCTAGAATTGATAACGCGTATTCCGCAGCATGACTAACATGTTTATTAACAAAAGCAAATTGTATGTGCTTAATATTATTATCAATAGCCCTTCGGTTATTTCATGTTTCTTAGACACGACTAATCTCTTTGCAATGAACTTTACCACAAACCTCATATGAGACGAGCAGAGCAATCATTTTTTTTTCACTGCTCACACGTAGCAAAGCTTTGTTACGTCTCTATCTCCGCTAGGCAACTTTTACAGACAGATCAAAAACCTTCACTCGTCGAAAGCTCCTGTTTTCAAATGAGCTCGTAATGTTTGTAGCTAAGAAAGTTAACCCGGAATGATCACCAATTGTGCCGCAATTATTTAACCGTTGCCTGAAAGAGAGACATTTCATCAGCCTATGGAAGTTCTCAGATGTATAATCTGACTTGAAGAATACTGGTAAATGTCCATCTTCATCACAATATCAACACTTCAGTTTTCCTAGTATCATTAGCAAAAACATTGAGACCATTATCAAAGTAAGATAGTTGATCAGCTTGCATGAAAAAATACAAACAGTATCGGTTTTACACCTCTACATCCACTGCTGATGTTTTACCTAGCATCACCTGCATAATCAACGTAGCTTCAGCAACGAAATTCCCTTAGATATCTCCTATAGCGGTCCTGGGTATCCATATCGGGAAGGGCCTTCACTCATAGAATGAAATAAAACATTTAGTTTATATTTAATATGAATAGTTGCATTATTTAGTCTGGTATCCTCATTGCCATATTCACAACGTTTCGGCTGTTGTACGCTCCGGCGTTCTTCAGGGGATTGGAATTTCGAACTGGATCCTTTATTTCGTCTACCAGAGTAGATTGTTCTATTTCCACGTCCCATGCATCTCCCGGATGTCTCAGCCATTTCCCTTTAACTCAATGCCTCAAGTTTTTGTGGCCTGGTATTGAACTCACAGTTCCATTGGTTTAGTCACTGGGCCTAACCAACGCCTTTATCCACTGGGCTATCTGACCTTGAAAACATTGGCGCTTGAATTTTTGGAAATTATAAACCTATTGTCTCAGCAACTGCTTTTACCAGTGCTCATATTGTAATTTTTTTGTGTTTTATTATTGTTTTTTTTTGTTTTGTTTTTTTACCACAGCTTATATTGTAATTTATTCATTGATTTTCTTTATCCTTCCGTATTACTGGTTCCCATCTTGTATTCATTTCTATGCTTGGTCGGCTCTGGAGATTTTTGTGGGATAACATATGTGCTGATTCCATAAGTTTTCATATTTCCCAGTGATGCTCTCTGTCTATTATTTTAACCTCATTCCACAGGGTTCAAGAGAGGGGATCTCCTTTTCCCTCAAAGGTTGTATTCGAAATTCCAATCACCGAAAGAAGGCCGGAGGGTACAACGGCCGAAACGTTGTGAATATGGCAACGAAGATGAAGATAACAGTCCGAATAATGTAAATAATGCAAGTAATCATAACATCTCATATTAGAAATATAGACCGATATTAATTTGAGTGAGTGTTTATTTCATGTTTCATCTGTTTTTCTTTACAAATTTAAAATATCTTTCTTTCTCACATGTCTCAGCACTAAGGCCCTATATTGTATCCCTATTTAATTTTTAAGGGTATACAATCCAGCCGTTGGAACCGGGCTTTACTAAACATAATCAAACCTACGCACTTCTGGATGTGAAGATACTTTTTAATCAATTCACCACAGGTAAGGTAATAAAGTCTCTAAGATCAAGGGGTTATTAGGAGTGAAAGAGAATGGGAAGACTTTAGAAGGATCCGGAAACCCAATCCTAAAATGAGAAGAAGGTATATACTTCTTCTTCTGTTCAAAAGACCGGGGATATAAACGAACCGGACAATGTGTGGCATAATGGTCCGCTACACATAATGGTACAGTACTCATATCCGAGGATACCGGTCTGCTAGGGCGGCTAGCTAATCCCCATTTTAGACGCCTCCTCAGGCACATTTGTGTCTGTTCAACACGCACAGAGCTCACCTTTGGTTTATACTGCAACTATGCTGAGCGGACCTTAGTTACAGTTTCTGGGAGATAGCGCGATATCTAGCGTGATCAGCTAGCACGCTGAAACCCTCGGTCACGATGACTTGTGACATCATGCAAGCACAACCACCGACGGCTCTCAAGAGTCCCCTCTACCCAACAAGGGCCGGGTTATACCTTTCCAAAGGTACCCCATGCGGGGATCGGTCTCCTCCAAACCGATAACATCAAGATGTCACCCTCCTGACAAATCGGCCGTGGTAAGATTCGGACCTGGTTTCCGCTTCTCGATCCGAAAAGCGAATGTTCTAACCACGTACCTATGTTTTGCTACACAATTTCCTTTCATATGGCATCTTCTTAAGTGCGTAGGCAACCATCTAAAGCTTTCTCTATGGTAGGTCTATAGAGCTTATTGTGAATGACCAGAGGCTTCTGAAGCTCATAATATAGCGATCCCAAGTCGATCGATTCATTCATACACTCTTTTTGTTTTATTATTATTATTATTATTATTATTATTAACGCTCTGCATACGAACAGAAGATACCACAGTTTATGGACGCACTTCCCAAATCATTTAAGCTGATTTCATTTTTGACCTTACCATAACAGCTAAATGAGGAAAATGGCTTGCAAATTTCTATACCTCTAAAGGCAAACATTATCATGTAGATGACTCCGATTTTGCTCAAGCCATGTGTATATATTTTTTTCTTCAAAATTTGAAATCAAAAATTAAAATAAAACAAAAAAGCTTAACCCGATAATGCCGGATCATTTTCGACAAGTCTCCAACCCAGTTCTTTCCTTTACCTACTTGTTTGTTTACGTCTGACTTTCTTTCTTTCTTTCTTTCTTTCTTTCTTATCACCCTTGTCATTTTTCACCTTAATTTTTCTTTGTCTTTCTTTCTTTCTTTCTTTATTTATTTCTTATCACCCTTGTCATTTTTCACCTTAATTTTTCTTTGTCTTTCGTTCTTTCTTTCTTTCTTTATTTATTTCTTATCACCCTTGTCATTTTTCACCTTAATTTTTCTTTGTCTTTCTCTCTTTCTTTCTTCCTTTCTTTACTTCTTATCACTCTTGTTATTTTTCACTTTAAATTTTCTTTCTTTCTTTCTTTCTTTCTTTCTTTCTTTCTTTCTTTCTGCTATATACCGTACCTATGAACATTAATGGTATGTCCCAATCCTCATAAATACGTTAGACACTATTATAAGTGTGTGTGTGTGTGGGGGGTGATATGGTGTCTAAGTAGTTTATCACTAGCAGTGGTTTACCTACTTCATGCCGCTGGCGAGTATTGTATTACTATTTCATTTCCAACCTCCGTTTTGGTTATTCCTCATTCAGTAACCTTTTCTATGTTACAAGAGAAAGAGAGATGGCAAAACTGAAATAAAATTGGGAGAAGAATGGAAAGAAGGGAAAAGGTACCGAAGAAAAAAGAGAAAAAGAGGGAACATTGATAAAAGATGAAGATAGAAACAAAGCATTGAGCAGGAGAAAGAAAAGAAGGAAGAGAAACGGTGGTGAAATGAGACACAATGTTGACGAGGAAGAAAAGAGAAATACATGAGAAGAAGACGAAGGAGGGGGAGTTTAAGGTGGTTAAGAATAAAAAGAAAGATAAAAACAAAAACGGATAAGAAGAAGTAGAAGAAGATAAACAAGAAGAAAAAGAAGAAAAAGAATTTAAAAATTTGGCTGACAAGATGAAGAAGAAGGAAAAGAAGAAGAATTACTTTGACAGGCATAATGTTTCTTTTACAAATAGAAAGATGAAAAGAAGAAATAAAATGATGAGGAGGGGGTAAGATGACTGACAACAAAAAGAAAGATAAAAAGAAGAAGAAGAAGAAGAAGAAAAGCAATAGAAGAAAAAGGAGTAGTAAATGAAAAAGGAAGAGGAGGTCAAGGTCGCTGACAATGAAAATAATAAAAAAAGAAAACGATGACAAGAAGAATAAGAAGAAAAAGAAGGAAGTCAAGATGGCTGTTAAGAAGAAAAAGAAGTGGAAGAAAAAGAAGAAAAATGAGGAGTTCAAGATGGCTGGCAATCAAAAATAAAGACAAAAAAGAAAAGAGATTAGAAGAACAAGAAAGAAAGAAAGAAGGAACGAAAGAAAGAAAGAAAGAAAGAAAGAAAGAAAGAAAGAAAGAAAGAAAGAAACAAACAAACAAACAAACAAAGAAGAAGAAGATTAAGAAGAATTAATCTGACTGGCATAATGTTTTTTAAAGCAGCCATAGAAAAATCAATAACGAAAAACCGGTGAAAAGTTCAAAGTTTGGAAAAAGATAATTTATGAACGGGCGGAAATTGTTCACCAAATACAAATAAAATATTAAACCGGTAAAAAAAAAACAATAAAAAAAAAACGAACTCTCAGATGACATTTTTGTTTCATTTTTCCCCAATGTTCTGTTTCTTTCATTGGAAAGCCAAATCGAAAAACTCGTGACCTAATTTACTTTGGCAAAGTCGAATTTCGGAAGAACACTACTTACGTTTAAATGGCTTCCGTTGTTGGGAACTTCCTGAATTTCCATGTTCTTTAATTTAAGTGTTAGGAACAAGATTGCAAATTTAGGTAACGGCCAAAAGCTTCTTTCTTTTTTTCGTTAAGCTCATTTTAATCTCTTGTTTTTATTTAAATGCATTGTGTTGATCTTCAGTTTGAAAATAAACTTGCTCAGAGCGGTAGATAATCTTCTAGATTTTGTTTTGTATGGCCTATACAAAACATCTTTCTAATATCCGATCCATTTTGCCATAGGTATCATATTTAAAGTTTACTAAGGTATGGTGTACCAGGATTTATTGTTTCCTGGACAGAATCTCAACGATATATACGCAAATGGCACTTGTGCTGATGAAAGACACAGAAAGGTAACTCTAGGAAATTTTACAAAAGATAGTGAAGGAAAGCAAGAAGAAAGGACTAATTATTAATCAAAAGAAGACTGAATGTATTGTCGTTAATAATAGGAACATTACATGATGCGAGTTACGAATTGAAGACCTAAAAATGAAACAATTATAAATTTGATTGTCTGCGAATGTTATAAAAGACGACGTTTTCCAAAAGTGAAAAGAGAGTACCATTCTGAAGACTTTTTGATGATTCCATGGAAACATCAATCTTATCTTTTTCTTATCAAAATTCGGTCGTTATCTATCTTCCCTATCTTCATATTGCAGGCCTTAATTTTCATTACTATTCCAATCCTAAACTTTTGCCTTGAATGTCTTTAGATAATTGGGGTGGGAGAAAATTAGTAAAAAATATAGATAAATCTTTTTGACTGTATTTCTGAGATGAGGTATATTAATTATTTTCACTATTTACATTGATTGGACTGTTGTCCTCAACTTGGTTGCTATATTCACAGCGTTTCGGTTGTTATACGACCCGGCCTTCTTCAGGAGATTAGAATTTCGAACCGAAGCGAACACTTTATTTCGTCCGCCGGGGTAAACAATGGCCCAGTCGATAAAAGAGTTGGTTGAATCCAGTGATTTGATCCACAGAGTTATGAGTTCAATACCTGGTTTCTACAGAGGGGGGGGGAACTTAAAGTTTTAAGTTAAAAGGGTGATAACTGATACTGTTATCCGGAAGAGGTATGGCATGTGAAACTAGAACAATCTACCTTGGTGGACGGAATAAAGGGTTTGGTTCGAAATTCCAATCATTGAAGTAGGCCGGTGCGTGCCACGATCGAAACGTCCGGAATATGACAACAAAGATGAGGATAGCAGTATGAACAATGTAAATAGTGTAAATAAATGATTTTGACTTAAATAAAAATAAAAAAAAGCTGTAAACATGAAAGTTTGAAGGTGACAGATTTGATGTCGATACTGTCCGAAGGATAATTCACAGAAAAGAAGATCAATGTTCAATTTCCTTGAACAGAGATTTGGATTTATTTTATTTTCAGGAGACCTTCAAACAAGTCAATTGCTCAAACGACTACAGTCTTAATCTTTTTAAAACTACAGTTAACCTTTAATTTCCGCATACATTTCCACTATACAATAACCATACAATAACCCCCAGTAATCCTCTACCTCGAGTAGTTCTTGGGATTTGTTCAGGACGAACAATAGTAAAAAAAATAAAACTGGGTAAGAAAAATAAATTATATGCCTAATGCCGTTAGGAGATCGACAGCTCTTGAACTCGCCTGTAATAATCGTTAAGCTGCTATATCTAAGAAAATCGGTTGATATAAATGTAGGTAAATCCCAAGATTTTCTACCATACGTACCATGATGGAAAAAAAACCGTAAAATGTTTATATTATTAAGAGAAAAGGTCAAAGTAGTTTCTGATTGCTTAATTAAATTCTTCAATCCTTTTTAGCATGCCAGCGAGTGCGCCAAAGATTACTATAGGGATATTTAGTGTCTTTTTAGCATGCCAGCGAGTGAGCCAAAGATTAGTATAGTGATTTTTAGTGTTTTTTCAGCATGCCAGCGTGTGAGCCAAAGGTTAGTATAGGGACTTTTAGTGACTTTTTAGAATGCCAGCGAGTGAGCCAAAGATTAGTGTAGGGATTTTAGTGACTTTTTAGCATGCCAGCGAGTGAGCCAAAGATTAGTATAGGGATTTTAGTGACTTTTTAGCATGCCAGCGAGTGAGACAACGATTAGTATAGTGACTTTTAGTGTCTTTTCTGCATGCCAGCGAGTGAGCCAAAGATTACTATAGGGACTTTTAGTGTCTTTTCAGCATGCCAGCGAGTGAGCCAACGATTACTATACGGATTTTTAGTTGCTTTTTAGCATGCCAGCGATTGAGCCAAAGTTTACTATAGGGACATTTAGTGTCTTTTAACATGCCAGGGAATGATCCAATGATTAGTATAGGGACTTTTAGTGTCTTTTTAGCATACCAGCGAGTGTGCCAAAAATTAGTATAGGGATTTTTAGTGTCTGTTTTGCATGCCAGCGAGGGAGCCAAATATTAGTATAGGGATTTTAGTGTCTTTTCAGCATGCCAGCGAGTGAGTCAACGATTAGTATAGTGACTTTTAGTGTCTTTTTCTGCATGCCAGCGAGTGAGCAAAAAAAGATTACTATAGGGACTGTTAGTGTCTTTTTCAGCATGCCAAAGGAGTGAGCCAAAGATTACTATACGGATTTTAGTGTCTTTTAACATGCCAGGGAATGATCCAATGATTAGTATAGGGACTTTTAGTGTCTTTTTAGCATACCAGCGAGTGTGCCAAAATTAGTATAGGGATTTTTAGTTTCTTTTTTGCGTGCCAGCGAGTGAGCCAAAGATTAGTATAGGGATTTTAGTGTCTTTTCAGCATGCCAGCGAGTGAGCCAAAGATTACTATACAGATTTTTAGTTTCTTTTTAGAATGCCAGCGAGTGAGTCAAAGTTTACTATAGGGACATTTAGTGTCTTTTAACATGCTAGGGAATGATCCAATGATTAGTATATGGATTTTAGTGTCTTTTCAGTATGCCAGCGAATGAGCCAAAAATTAGTATAGGGATTTTAGTGTCTTTTTAGCATGCCAGCGAAGGAGCCAAATATTAGTATAGGGATTTTAGTGTCTTTTCAGCATGCCAGCGAGTGAGTCAACGATTAGTATAGTGACTTTTAGTGTCTTTTCTGCATGCCAGCGAGTGAGCCAAAGATTACTATAGGGACTGTTAGTGTCTTTTCAGCATGCCAGCGAGTGAGCCAAAGATTACTATACGGATTTTTAGTTTCTTTTTAGCATGCCAGCGAATGATCCAAAGATTAGTATAGGGATTTTAGTGTCTTTTTAGCATGCCAGCGAGTCAGCCAAAGATTACTATAGGGATTTTTAGTTTCTTTTTAGCATGCCAGCGAGTGAGTCAAAGATTAGTATAGGGATTTTTAGTTTCTTTTTAGCATGCTAGCGAGTGAGCCAAAGATTAGTATAGGGATTTTAGTGTCTTTTTAGCATGCCAGCGAATGAGCCAAAGATTAGTATAGGGATATTAGTGTCTTTTTAGCATGCCAGCGAGTGAGCCAAAGATTAGTATAGGGACTTTTAGTGTCTTTCGGCATTCCAGCGAGTGAGCCAAAGATTAGTATAGGGATTTTAGTGTCTTTTCAGCATGCCAGCGAGTGAGCCAACGATTAGTATAGTGACTTTTAGTGTCTTTTCAGCATGCCAGCGAGTGAGCCAAAGATTACTATACGGATTTTTAGTTTCTTTTTAGCATGCCAGCGAGTGAGCCAAAGTTTACTATAGGGACATTTGCACGACCAAGGAACAATCTTTCTGTAAGTTCACAACTGTTGGGCATTTACAGTAAAATTATATTGAATCATACAAGCAATAGAATTGAAATGCCAGGGGGCCATCGTTGACATTTTCAACGTAAATCAAACCGCAAATGACACAGTAGGAGACACTTTCCAACAAGACATAGGCCCATTAGGATAGAGGATGTCAAAATGGTACGGACACGTGATAATCACCATCATTATTCAGCTACCATCCTACAAGGTACCACTTGAGAAGAGGAGGCTAACAACGCCCCACCCCGGATGGATTAGAATATACTTCACAAAGATTCAGACATTGGCCCACAATGTGGAGCGAGTGGGTTAGTCCCCCAGCTGCTCTGATTCTCCAATTTTGTCCTTTTCATTCGTTATATATCCCCCTTATCCTCATAGGTTCCACTTTCCGCCACTTTTTTCAATCATATCGCAGGCATTACACCTCACTATTTCAAACGCCTCTATTGCTCACAATAATGCCGTTCAAATTCTGTCATTGTTCGATCATTTACTTATTGTCAATTCTCTTTGTATAACTGACAGCTTATTTTACCGCGGTAGATTCGGTTACCTGAGATGCATTCGCTTCTGCATTGATGCCCTTGGAAAACTGTTAATTAGCAAGGTCGATTGAAAGTATACTAAAGGTCAAAGGATTAGCATTTACTGGTTCATGCTTTTTCAAAATTAATACATTAATCCCTTTCATGAAGGGGCTTTTATATCTTATTATAATTATGAATATCCCTTCCTTAGATCCTTAGTAAGCACGTACGACCGTTACGTCCTGCCAATACCTCATAAGTAACGGAGTATTCCGTTTTGATCGCGTAGAAAGACGAAATAGGCGTATCAGAGACGCTACTTGGTTTCAGCGAAAAAAAGAAAGAAATGAATATTTTCAAAGAAAGAAGGAACTCTACAGAAAGAAAGAAAAAATTGTAGAAAGAAAGAATAAAAGAAAGAAAGAAAGAAAGAACTATAAAGAAAGTAACAAACAAGCAACGTCAAAGAAAAAAGATCTTCAAAGAAAGAACGAAATATACAGAAAAAACAAAGAAAGAAAGAAAGAAAGAAAGACAGGGAAAAATTTAAGAAATAGCATACGAAAGAAAGGAAGAAAGGAAAGAAGAAAGAAAGAATTTCCAGATTGAAAGAATGAAACACAGAACTTCAAGAAAGAAAGAAAGAAAGAAAGAACGAAAGAAAGAAAGAAAAAGAATTTCCAAACAAAAAGAACGAAAGAAAGAATTTCAAAGAAAGAAAGAAAGAAAGAAAGAAAGAAAGAAAGAAAAAAGCAGACATTTGAATTAAAGCCAAGAAGGACAAAAAGAAAAAGAGAAAAAAGAAGAAAGAAAGAAAGAACTTCAAGAAAGAAAGAACTTCAAGAAAGAAAGAAAGAAAGAAGCAGACATCTAAATGAAAGCCAGGAAGGAAAGAGAAAAAAGAAGAAAGAAAGACACATCATAAATAGTCATCCTAGAGGTTAACACTTTCCTGTGTTAATTGGAAGATCATTGACAGTGATCCAGACATTGGCCCCAAACTGAGAAATGTTGAGAGAGCTGGTTAGTTCCTCAATGGACCTGTGACCCTACCACAGCCGATCATGGTACTGCTGGTAAGTGTGATACATCCGGTGGCAAAATGAATCTTTGTTTCGCTCACATTTTAACCCATCCTAAACATAAAGAAAATCTAACAAGTCCGAAAAAGTCCACAGTCGTCCACATTCCCAGAAAGTTAGCAAATGCGACTAACAGCTGACGAAGTCCAAAGCCTTATCAAAACGTCAAAGAAGACACCAATTCTGAAATCGTAGCGTTCGTTTCACGGCATTGAAAGTGTTAAAGAGACATTGTTAGCACCAGAGAAAGTAATTCGCAAATGAGTAAATTCAACTGAGATAGCGTAACAACTTTGCTGACAATGAATATTCGTCGTAATTGGCTGGCAGGTAATTAGCACCGTGTGTTAATTATTTGGCGCTTGTCAATAGAATGTTATCGGCACGAGCAGTTCAGAATATACAACTGATGTGTTGACTTTGTAAATATCATTGATCGAATAGATTTCAGCACATTGCCATCGTCATTAAAACTTGTCACTCAGTTCAGAAAGTAAAATAAACCCGGAAATTAAAATCGATATAAAAAAAAGTATTTTCGGATGAGATGTCCGTGTCGGAGAAGATGCGCTGTGTCATTTCAGGACCTGATCGATCATGGCTCTCTATAACTTCCTGCCCTTTGTGGCTCTTTTCACCATCTCTCCAACTCCCTGTTCTGCCATGCATTTAGACAAGTTCGTTATATAGGTTGCTTGTTGCCTTTCTCAGTCCACTTGCTTCAATATGTCCTGTGAGTGTCCAATTCTCCAAGCCTTCTTTCCTTATGAAGTCCTAGGAACTCCAACATTTCTGATTCTAAGTACAGTAGAATCCCTGATAGCAGGACTAAGAAAGCCTTCCGGATATAAGGATTTAGTTACAAAGAATTGTTACATTAAAATTAAAGAACAGAAAATTATTTTCAATGTTTTATAATAAAACTTTTCTTTCAGAAAATTATTTTCAATGTTTTATAATAAACAAAATAAACTAATGGTGAGTGAAATATAACGGAATTGATTTTAAGGAAAAAGAAATAAATTATGTAATGTTAATGAAACTTCATTAAATTAAGTATGCCACGTATGCAAAACAAGTAATGTAACGAAGATTTTTTAATTGCTGTTTCATGATGATTCTTTCTTTTCTAATGTCATTCTCAACTTTTTTCGGCATTTCGTTTTGCTTTTGTTCTTGAAATTTTTTAAACGAAAGACACTTTTTTTTAACTCTGCGTGCGTTATTGCAATCGTCATAACTGAATGCTGGCTTTCTTTCCATAAAACTGACAACCTCTTCAATAGCTTTTCAAATTCAGTCCAGGTTTTATCAAAATCATACATCTCGTCGCTATCTTGTTGCAGATGTGCCTCATTGTCATCCTTTCCTCTTATTCCCATCATCCTTTGCATCAATACAAGCCATTAGGGTGAAATAAGCATAAGTAAATATCCAAAGTAAATTTCATGAAAAACAGAAATTTCAAATCCGTTACATATCACCCAAATAGTTCAGATATACACATCAAAATCATGTCCAGATATGCGAGATTCCGGATTTGAGGCACTCCGCATATGAGGGATTCCGGATATGAGGGATTCTACTGCATATTTCTTTTTCTTTCTGGATTCCTTAAAACTCTCTTCAGTCCATGATACTCTCAGGAACCACATACGGCCACAACACATTGAAATACAGGTTCCCGTACAATCACCGAAATTAAGCAACATCGAACCTAGTTAATACCACGATTGGTGACCGCCTGTGAATAACAGGTGCTGTAAGCTAGTGGGGGGTGCGGCTGGTGTAAGGAATAACGACGCGGAATTGTTAATCGGAAAGCTGAGTTCCAGTCCCCGTTGGGTTCGTTATAGTCACTTACCCGAAAATACCTCTGGGACAGGCATGGCCCCACCTCTTCTCTCCCAGCTATAGGTCAATAAATAAGAATTGTGTCACTAAACCATTATTATCTAAAAAAAATGCATACAATCTAAAATTATTTTCTGGATTTCTGAAACTAAACCAAACCAATCAACTCTTTGCAGACAATTTAATTGTCTGGAAAGAGTTGATTGGTTTGGTCTGGTTTATTTTGTTTTACGGCATATCAACATCTCAATGGGTTATTTAATGTCGGCAAGATTTTTAGCATAGGTTCGTATAAATAGAATACGCATTGTTAGAAATCAGTTTGTAGATAATGTTTCATTGACGTATTTTTTGTAAAGATTTTTTGTAAAAATTCTGGTTTGGTTTGGTTTATTTTACTTTACGGCATATCAACATCTCAATGGGCTATTTAATGTCGACATATTTTTAGGATAGGTTCGTATAAATAGAATAGGCATTCTTTGTAAAGAATCAGGTTTTAGATCAGGTTTCATTGACGTATTTTTGTAAAGAGGGTTTTTGTCAAGAGTCAATGTTTTTTCAAAACATTGACTCTCGACAAAAAACCCTTTTGAAAAAAATCTATTGCTGGTAATATTTTTACTATATAAATTTATTTTTAAGTTTTCATAGTGTTTTAGCCCCAGTTTGGGATTTCAACAGTTACCACCCCGGGTCAGAGTGGCGTCAGGAACAGCAATTAAGAGGTGAAAAGGATATATAAACCATAAAAAAACGAATCAATCAGTCAATGTTTCTTCAAATCTATTCTTTATTATGTTAGGAGATTGTCCAGCATTCACTGCCATATAGGAGGACTGATATTATATTACTGAGCAGTACTCTTTTCTTTGTTTCTGTTGCTTCAAGTCTCTTCTTCATCTCTGATGGGATTGCCCAGCATTCACTCTCATATAGAAGGACTGATATCACACGACAGTTCAGGACACTTTTCTTTGTTTCTGTTGCTTCAAGTCTCTTCTTCATCTCTGAGGGGATTGTCCAGCATTCACTCTCATATAGAAGGACTGATATCACACGACATTTCAGGACTCTTTTCTTTGTTTCTGTTGCTTCAAGTCTCTTCTTCATCTCTAAGGGAATTGTCCAGCATTCACACTCATATAAGAGGACTAATATCACACGACAGTTCAGGACTCTTTTCTTTGTTTCTGCTGCTTCAAGACTCTTCTTCATCTCTGAGGAAATTGTCCAGCATTCACTTTCATATAGGAGGACTGATATCACACGACAGTTCAGGACTCTTTTCTTTGTTTCTATCGAAAATTTCTTGTTATATGTATTGATTTTTAAAGTCATAATTTCTCATTCTATATGCATTGACCTATCAGGACATAGGCAATCATGGCTCTCCATAACTTTCTATCGTTTTTTTTTAATTTTAACATCTCTAATCCTTCTTATTCTATTATCCAGGTATTTATAGGTACTTTTAGGAAATAGGCGATTTATAGGTTATCTCATTTTACGAAACAGGCGATTATTGCCTTCCACAACAACCTGTCTTTCGTTGTTCTAATTTTTGATCGATTTCCATTTTTTTTTGTTTCGATTCTGCCATCTAGTCACTTGTATCTTATGCCATATACTCAGGACATAAGCGATCATGGCACTCCACAACTTCCTATCTTTTGTTCCTCTAAGAAATGTTTGAATCTTTAACATACCCTTCTTTTCCCTGTTCTGCAATCCAGTTACTTCTTTATATGACATATCTTCAAATCGTGATCGATGATGGCACTCCACAACTTCCTATCTTTTGTTCCTTTAAGCAATGTTTTGAGTCTTTATTGCCTCTCTTTGTTCCTATACTACTGTCACTTCTTTACATGCAATGTCTTTTCACGACTCGTAAGGTCATGGCTCTCCCCGACATCCTGTCTTTTGTGACACTATTTTTTAAAACTCTTTACCGTCCTATTTTGTTCTTTTTCTAGCATCCAGTCATTTCTTTATGTCATTTTCTCAAGATTCATGTGACAATGGTTCTCCCCAATTACCAATCTTTCCTGATGAATTCTTTAATCAATGATAGAATAAGCTCATGAAGGGTCTATGACAATAACATATCCGTTGAATTTCTATTATCGCATCGTTAAATATTTCAGCTTAACCACTTTTAACAAAATATTGCAATAGCAATCATAAATATGAATGCTGGCGTTTATTTTAAGAAGTAAGGGGATACAATTGAAAATACTTGAAACTAACAACTTTTAAACACTTTTTAAGCTATTAAATACCCCATCATTTAGGAGGCATAAATCGGTAAACCCTTCTATCTTCCCTTCTTTATTCGGGCTGTTATCTTCATCTTCATTGCCATCTTCACAACGTTTCGGCCGTTGTACGCTCCGGCCTTCTTCAGATGATTTGATCTCTGAGATCAGATATTATGATTACTTGCATTATTTACATCTTTCGGACTATTATCCTCATCGTCATTGCCATATTCACAAAGTTTCGGCTGCTGTACGCTTCGGCCTTCTTCAGGTGATTGGAATTTCGAACAAAACCCTTTATTTCGTCCGCCGAGGGTAGTTCCCCATGTCATGTCTCTTCTGGATGTCTCAGATATTTACCTCCAAGTTTTGTGTTCCACAACTGCTGTGGCCTGGTATTGAACTCACAACTCTTTGGGTCTAGTCACTGGATCTAACCAACGTCTTTATCCCCTGGGTCATGTGTTCTTGAGGACATCTGTGTGTGATGATACAGGTGTGGGACTTATAAACTTAATCTACCCCAGTGGACAAAATAAAGGCTTCGGTTCGAAATTCTAATCAGTTGAAGAAGGCCGCAGAGTACAACCGCCGAAACGTTGTGAATATGTCAATGAAAATGAAGATAGCAGCCTGAATAATGTAAATAATACAAGTAATCATAATACCACATCTCAGGGATATAGGCAGATTCTTTCTTTCTTTCTTTTATTTCATTCCTTTTCCCACTGAAACCAAGTAGTATTTTCCCCCTCTTTCAATATGATCAAATGGAATAGTCCATTATTTATGAGATAATAGTGGGAGACATGAAATACTTCTATGTTCTCTTCTTTCATTCATTCATTTTTTTTCCTTTCCTTTCTTTCTTTCCTTCTTTCTTTCTTTCTTTCATTCATTTTTCCCTCTGTCGACGCCAACAAAACGCAATAGTGCATTATTTAAGATGTATTGGTAGAAGGCGTTAAACCTTTCTTTCTCTTAAACCAGATATGTGGTATTGGCACGGCGTAACGGTCGTAACAAATAACGGGACAAGCACAATCATAATAGGATAATCAGTGGATAGACGTGTTGAAGTAGACATCCCTGTATTTTTTAATATTGCAATTGAATGTCTACCGGCGTGGGTAATACACCCGGCCTCGAGTGACCTCACAGATTTCAACACATCTCTCTCTCTCTATTCATAGAATTTAGATTTTGTTCAAACGATAATGAAGCCATTATGCTAATTGCGTTGTTTATTTCCAATAAAATTAATTAAGACTGACCCCGTTTTAAAATCGGTAATCGATGACGTGTTGCCTTAATCAATACTTTCTCGATTATTGCTGCATTCTGAACAGATAATTCCAATTATCTGTTATGACCATCTTGAAATCGATTGCTTATCAGAAATTATGGCTATTTCTTCTTCTTCTTCTTCATTGTGTGTCGTGTCTCATCAAGTCGTAGGCGATCATGGTTCTCCACAATTTCCTGTCTTTCGTTAGTCTAAATAAATTTTGCCTTTTTGTTATTCCTCTATAAACATTGTTCCGCCATCCATTTACTCAATCTCGTTTTCTTCTTTATATGTGCCGTGTCCCTTCAGGACGTTGACGATCATGGCTCTCCACAATCTTTTGTAGCTCTTAATAAATTTTGTCTTTTTGCTATTTCTCCTAAATCTTGTTCCACCATCCATTTACTCAAGGTCGCTAGGTAGGTCATCAGTGGGATTTCCCCGTCTCTCTTGTCTTCAATCTGCCCTATGAGTATCAGATTTTCCAAGCCGTCTTTCGTCATTGTGTGACTTAGAAATTTCAACTGTTTATTCCTGATATTAACTATAACTTCCCTTTTTTCCCCTTCGTCGTTGCTCACATATTCGGTACATGTTATCCTCAGCAGCCTTCCGTAGAGCCACATTCATGTTGCTTCAAGCCTCTTAATCACCTTTGAGAAGATTGCCCAACATTCACGACTATATAAGAAGACTAATATGACGTAACAGTCCAATATTCTACTGTGCTAACGAAAAAAATGGCACAGGGCAACGAGAAGGGAGCGTTTAGTGACTCTCGAATTCAACAGCCATCCAATAAATTGCGAGTAGCTTCTTGATAAATATAATTGAAATGATATATATATATATATATATATATATATATAAAAAGGCTTAAACACTAGTACTCCATGGTCTTAATTTATTATATTGGAATCGTAAATATGATCCAACTCATCAGACCTACAAATTCAAATAGAGAGAGAGAGAGAGAGAGAGAGAGAGATGTATGGATAACGAATATATACACATATACTGTCAAAAACACACTTGACGGACCACAGGCACATGCACACACACACACACACGAACTCTACACATATAAAGTATATATATCATATATAGAAATAAAACGGTATATATGCATGGATAGGAATATATATATATATATATATATATATATATATATATATATATATACACTAGGAAAAGGACATACACTCACACAAACATGAAATACACAAGCATGGATGAATGTCTGAAGAGATACACTAGGATATAAAAGACAAGATCAAAGACCTCATTACTCCCCCCACTTTCTCTGACCAATCGTAATTGTTTTATTAGCCCTTAAGCAGTGGAATATTTTCTCCATAATT